CACGTTCGACAGAATTTATGCACAAAACTGCACCAGAGATTTTCGTCCTTTCTAACCGGTTATACGTCTCTTATAAATTCCATCTAAAGGACATTTAGTTTATACGAAACTTTCCCAACATTTTCGATATCTATCGAATATTATTATATCTTAAATAAATATTAACTGCTCTCTTTTTTCCTTCTATCTATCCCCTTTTTTTATTTTTTATCGAATCGATAAAACCAATCGTAGAAGAAAGTAAACGAAACTTTTCGATAGGAAGATAAAGAAAAAAAAAGGGAGAAAGATTGCAAAGTAAAAAGGTTCGAACGAAGTCGTGCGTGTCTTTTCCGATGGAGCGTGGGCGATCTCCAGAACGGAGTGCGGGCGCGCTGAACAAATTCCGTCCGGTAATTGGCGGCTTTTTCCGCGGTAATTGGAAGCGACTACTTCGCCCTGGTAGATATCGAAATCTTCGCGAGAAAGAGAGAGAGAGAGAGAGAATGCAAATGCGAGAAAAAGAAAAGTAAACTTTGAGTAGTGCGAGTAGAAGGTGAAGGTAGAAATACGAAAATATTGATACAAAAGAAAAAGACTTAGGTCAAATTTTGTGATAAAATCGCCACTCGGCAAAAGGTTAAATTAGAGATAGAGTAGTAGAAGAAAAAAAGGAAAATTTTAGATCCGACAATGAGCACGAACAACTTTAGGGAAGATAAAGAAATCGAGTCTGAATCGTTTTATAGGAGAACGAGAGGTTCCGCTTTAACTGCAATTATCCTAACTTCCGAGAATTCGCTCGAACCTTTGACCTGACCTTTTTACCATCCCTCCGTAACTCCTTTCTATCTTTTTCATTGGAAGAAAATTTCTGGCATAAAACTTTTCTCAATGTGAGGAGCCAGAAAAAGATATGTAGTTTCCCCGGTTGTCTCGCTTAAAGAAAAGGAGACTTAGGATCTGGTCCATCTCTCAGCAGGCCATCTCCGGTTTGCGAAACGCAACACGGATCCAAATGTAAAAAGGCGTGTCCTTAAATAATGCATAAGACGACGATGCAACAAAACTTTATTGTAATTTCCCAGAAGACTTAAACTTCAATTCGATTTTCTGAGAAGGAAAAAGATTTTTCTATTGGCAGGTGGTGGCACTACTACAACATCGGTCCTTTCTTCTCTACTTTCGAACATTTCGTCGAACTTTAATCCGCGTTATTTCGCGACGAGAAAGCATTAACTTTGCTTGGCCAAAGTAAATGAGACAATAAATATTCTTTGAGGTAAAAAAAAGGACAACATACGTACGTATGAGTACAATTTTCATTGTTTATAATCGAATAGAATTAAAATATTGAATTACAAATAAACTCGTATCTTATTTATGAAAATTGAAACGTTAAATTCGAACCGACCCCGGTCTCTGAAAATAGATTAATAATTATTCTTGTTTAATTTTACTTCTGTTTCTAAACGAAGCTCAAATTCACGTTGTTTTCCACGAAAATAATGCGCACATGCTATGATAAATATATTATAAGTGTGTGTATGCTTTTCTAGAATACGCCTGTATAGAGACTTGAGTTTACTTTACCGTTGATATAAACTAAAGATAATATCGTCTGTAGTTTTTTCAAGTACATTATACATTCAAACCCTGCTTGAACATAGAGTACGTTAACGAAAGGGGAGAGGAAGGAAGGAAGGAAGGAAGGATAGAAAACGCGAAAATGTACGAAGAGAATGGAGAAAGAAGAAAAAATATGAAAGAGAAGAGGAAGGTACCAAAAATAAAATAAGAAAAAAGTTAGGAAAAGAAGGAAATGAGTAATGACTCATAAGTTTTGCATAATGTTAATTATACCAACTCGGTTGGAGAGGGTGATACTACTATGTAGGAACGGGAAAACACACTGAAAGGGAAAACGGAGCAACGATATCGTCCGGGCCATTTGAGGAAAAAATCGCGATACCGTGTCGCGTACGTACCGTGCCGCGTACCGTACGATATTTGCATACAATGCAACGACCGACCCGCTAAGCGAATGAAAGAGAGAGAGAAAGAGAGCGTACTCGATGCACAAACAATAGTGCACTCGTCTCTTTTTTTTGTCGATGATACTGCTGTACAGCAAAGAGCAAACGAAAGAGAGAGAGAGAGAGAGAGAGAGAGAGAAAGCACACACGTGTTCGTGCCACCGTAACGTAAATCATACCACGAATAAATCCAAATCTCTTGTCGTGGATCCTGCTCTGTTCCTGGTGTTTGTAAGCGACAAAATGGATCTTCTCATTGGCTCTCTCTCTGTTTCCCTTCTGTTATCATACCACGCAGCAACCCTCTACACTCCCCCCATTTCATCCGTCTTATTGTAATTCCCTTTAACGAGTGCGAGAGATCTTTTCTGAATTTTTCTTCTTTTCATCCTCTTTGGCAATGCTAGCAAGCGCATTTAATCGAAATCGCGAATCGTTTTTCAATTCGTTCCATCATTTATATATATATATATATGTTTCGTTCCTTTCACATATAATCAAACATACCAGCAAACGATTCCGTTCGACGTTATATCCATCTCCTTCCGTTATCTAAAATATTTATATCAGATAATGAAGATGCTGATTGGTAATATTGGCATCTCTTTCGAAATCGATAAGATATAATCCCTCTAAATTATCTCTATCTTCTCTTTCTATTTATTTTGTCGACCTATTCTTATCAGAAAAAGTAAGATTTCAAAGAAGACTGCGTTATTGCTCGAAAGAATCAATGTCGACGATGCAGCAGTAGAAGAAAATGAAAGAGAGTGAGAGCGTTGCAATTGTCACGAGCTTTGTGTCTATGTAATATGACGCGTTGTATTACGTGAGCGCTAAGAAATGAAAGCAACAAAAAAAAACCAGCATGAATCCCGTATATGACAGTGCGTATAAAAAAAAAGGGAATGAAAATATGAAAGTACGTATAGATGTAGTCGCGATATTACGCGGTAAACGTAATACGACATGGCGTTACAAGCTCGAGCGTGGAAAAAGTAAATTAGCATAGAAAGTGAGAGAGAGAGAGAGAGAGAGAGAGAGAGAGAGAGAGCGAGAAAGAGAGAAAGAGAGAAATATACGAAACGAAACGAAACGACACGAGAGTGATTCGCGAAATATGTCTCTTGTTGCCACATTTGTTATCTTTTTTTCTCTTTCAACCCCTTTCATGTTGCACATTTTCTTTCGTAGTTTTAACGAAAAGGAAAAGGGCTAGCAAAAAATGAAATGGTCGATCGCAAAAACGAATGGACGAAATAAAATAATAATGGACGATTCGTTACTAGTTACAAAATAGGGAGCAGGGGGTGGAGGAATAGGGGTATCAAATGAATGAGAATGCTGGTGATAAAATTACAATCAGGATGTGGATCTAGCGATGCTCCGGTAATGATCGCGATTCGTTTGTCCAGCGAATTTGTAAAGAGGACACACCGAGAAAGAGAGAAATAGGTTGATCGGCCAATTGTTCCCCGACATTCGCGTTAAATATGCGGGATAATTAGCAATTAAAACGGTGTACGAAGCGAAAGTTGCATGACGAACGGCAGATGCTACCTTTTCCCATCGATACGTTTTACCACCGTGCGAGTTCTGCCAACAAAACGATTCCTTTTTATTAGCCCTAATTGTGAGAATTTTCGCGAGAACACTTTCATTACCTCCATTATCGAAGTAAGCTTCTATTTATTTTGTCGAATAAATGCTCGAGATGAAAATTTCGTAAGGGTTGCTTTTTGTTGTTGCTTTTGCAGTTGCATATTTAAAGTTACGAAGTCAGGTGTAATTAGAAAGAAAATAGGAAAATTTGCAATGACTTTGATTCTGTTTTAATTGTCTTCGGGGAGCCATCGAATTCCGAGCTAATTTCGTGCAAACTCATCCAATTTAGGTGAGGCTACGGAAAATGGGACCGTTTATGACAAGACGACCCGACAAGGAGGAAGAGAAAATGCAACTCCTTTATGGGAGCTGGCTCGCACGGGAGATGACAGCTACGTGACCGCGAAAATCAAACGATCTTCCTCCCTTTTGTCTCTTTTTCCCACTTGGATCTAATTCCCTGGCGGAAACGATTTCCCGCTAGTTGCTACGTTTCGCACCTTTTTCTTTTTTTTCTTCTCCCTTTCTCTATAGGCGAATTGGAGAGACGACCCTCCATATCGGTTTGCCGATCGCGTACCACCTACCCTCTATAAAGTCATACGATCCTTTGATGATCGCTTGAAAAGAGCCATCCCGTTGAGGTTCGTATTTCACGTAAGACCGATCACTCGAACAAAATTCTTCAAACAAATAAGATAAGAAAGTTAGTATAACATTCTACGACGTTATCTTATATTTTCAATGCGTCTCTATACCTTGTATTTTACCTGTCGTAAGATCTTATTTGCTATTATACACCTATAATTAAGTATGTCGAGGAACGTTGTAAGGTGTATAAGGAATTTTGCGCGATATTGAAAGATATAATATTCAGCGAGTTAGTGCGTTGAACGTCTTAATAAACCTTCAATCTTCATCGGAAAATGGTGGAGAAAATTTTCTATAAATTTCTAGCGAGAGAAAAAAAATCAAATTAAAATTATAAAGTAGAAAAAAAAAATAACAAACGTGTATTGTACTTTAATCACCGTTTTTCGCAAAAAGGAGATTACCTATTATATTCATCTTCCCCGTTCACGGTGTGCAAGTATAACGTAAAGGTACTTTCGAGACATCTTACGACGCGCGCGTTACACCGTGGAAAAGCATTTGCCAAAGATCCACCTATCTATCCATTATTTTCCTATTTTCTTTGCGCTTTTTAAACACGACTTTAACTTCAAATGAAATTTCTTCTTGTATCAAATTTCAAGAGAAATAGAAAAAAAAGAGTAGGAGCTTAATAAATAAATTTAATTTGTGACTTTACGAAAAGTGATATACATCGGTAATTGATGTCTGCCGTTGCAGTTTAGTTAGAAGTTTCGTTGTACTTACTGGTATTTTTCTCTCTATACTGTGGTAGTACTCCGGCAACGAGACAACCTAGAGTCAGGTACACTGCGAACCAGGAACAGTCCATTGTAATAGGTTGGGCTGTAACAGAAAAGTAAAGAAGACTCTTAGAATTATTCTGATCTGTAACTTTTATTTCTTGGCTGCTTTACAAACGACTTTTTTTAGTATTTCAAATAATAAACGAAAAGCAATCCCTATTATAAAAAAAAAAAATTTTATCGTTGGTACGTAATACTACTCTTTGTAATATTGTCGTAAAATAGTCGGGACGTTTGAACATAGGGTGGAGCATTCCGTCCATCCCTCGAAATCCTCTGCGTTCGGAGGGTAGTATCTGTTCTCTCTCTCTCTCACTCGACCTCTGATCGAATTCGCGTGAACGGTCGTTGGTATTAGCAGGCCATACGCGAGCAGCCTAGCAATCATCAAGCTCCTCCATAGTAATCGATCGTTATAATGGCCTTCACGTCATTGACAACTTGTCGAGCGTTAAAGCCGAGCTCTGACGCTGTCAGAAATCAGAGAGAGAGAGAGAGAGAGAGAGAGAGGAACCCCTGTCGACGAGAACTCGTCGATTATTGACCTCGATTATTCTACCACCACCCAGCAGCACCCTACCTCTCTGCGTAGTCACGAATACGTATCGTCTAGTTCACGTTTATTCTTCGCGACAGCTGTCAGACCTATTCGCAAAAACGAATTAGCTACAAAACGAGAACAAAGAGAAATTTTACAAATCGTCCGGAGGAAACTTCGAGAAAAGGAAACTAAAGAGGTTTTCCCGTCTAACTAGGGTAGGGTAGGGTAGGGTAAGTTGCTGTAGCTAGTGGTAATGGGATAGTTGAACTAATCGACTACTATCTATTTTGCATCGCAATAGCTTTTCTCTTTCTCTCTTTCCCAAATAGTTTCTCCAACTAAACTCGATTAGATACAGTTTACATTGGAAATTATGGTAGTTTGCCGTTTACAAAAGTAAAACCTTCTATACTCTAAACTCTTATCATCCGCTGACGTACACACATTTAAGAAACTTTGAAACTTCGAGAGGACTGTCTGTCTTTTATTTTATAGAATACTACTTACACGCAGTTTTGTATAAAGGTCCATTCGCGCGCGCGCGCGCGCGTTTTATCCTTTTACGTTGGATACGTATCATTAAACTAGATCATTTGCTTCGATAATATACCTTACTTTTCGCGTATTATTTTAGAACGAACTCGTATGTATCCATGGTCTCTCTTTCTCTCGTTAAGATACCACTCGATCGTTTATAAAACTTAGCTAAAGTTTGCAGCGTACAACGTGGGAGAGAGAGAAAGAGAGAAAGCTTACTACAAGCAAAGTCTCATTAATTTCACGGATAAAGCGTTGCTGCCGTTGCAACGCGCGAACGAAAGACAGAGAGAGAGAGTGAGAGAGAGAGAGAGAGAGAGAACAAACTTTCCTTGGGTTTAGCCACAGATAATATCCATGGAAACTGGTGGTAAGGTTTGAATGATGCTCGCATAAGCTGGCATGCGAAAGCACGCGGCGCTTTGCCGCGAAAATGCCACGAAAGAAAGAAGAGATACTAACTCGAGAGTCGAAGAAACGACGGGTTCTTCTTTAAAAGAAGCTTCAAAAGCTCTACCTACCTCTCACGCCACCTTCGACAAACACACACAAGCAACAAATTCACTTGAGACTTTTACATGCGTTAAGATACAACTATCGCGAGTATTGTTCAAATTTTCATCACGTTTTTCATCTAACGCAGATACTTTGAATTATCTTTGTACGATAATTGTTCCTTTCTTTTTTTTTTTTTTTTTAATTTAGTACATAAAATCGTCGTTCGTTTACGTAAATTCTTCGCGTGTAGAAATGTCTGTATGAAACGCTCGTTTTCAAACTGTCAAACCTATCCTGATTCGCTGATAAAAATAAAAAAAAGGAAAATAAAAAAAGGGAAATAAAACGAAGTTACGTAGCAACGTGCATACGTATGGGAATAGATAGTTTTATATATATATGTAGCAACGGTCGGATGAGTAAATTCCCATTCCGGATTGCGAGAGAATTCGCCGATTTGACTCGATTTAACAAACCGCGCGCTCCACATACATACATTACGAGAGAGTCCGGTGTGTCCGTCGCACGTTTTCCAAGAGAGACAGAGTCAGAGAGAGAAAGAAAGAGAGAAAACGAATCTGTTTGATCCCTTTGGAATCGTATCGTGGGATTTAGGAAACAAGCGTGGCGCAAACCGCAATCTGACCCCATGAATTAACCCTTTTACCATTTCTTCTCTTTTCACTCTTCTCTCTCTCTCTCTCTCTCTCTCTTATTCGTAAGATCTATTTTCCACTTTGTTCGGTCGGTTAAATTTCACGAATAAGATTCGTGAGGTTACGTGAGGTACGCGAAAAAGGGGGTTGGTATTTCATATTTCGTGCAGAAACTCGTTTTACAATTAGCTAGGATAGAAGATCCTCTTGTAACAATTTTCCTACTATCCGAAACGATAGAGAAAGAGGGTGGAAAAAGGGGAATGACTAAAAGCGCGGCGACGAAATGAATTTCGTGAAAATGAAATATTTGCCCGAATTCCGTAAAGTTAAGACAAACAACTACTACTAGCGATGCTCGAAAATTTACCAAAGAGAGAAAGGGAGAGCATTTCATCGTAATCGTATTCGTTTGATCTCTTACTATGAATAAATGTACGTTTTTCAAGCAGCCAAAGGTATTTAAGGTTTACCGGATATAACATTATTCTATTTCAAAGTAGAACAATAGGATCGGATGCGTGTTAACGCATAAAGTTAGCTTTGCGTTTTTCAAGGAAAGACGTTTCCCCAATTTTTCTCTTCACTTATCTAATAGTCGTTAGAAAAGGGTAAACTTTAATCAACGATATTATTTTCGAATTTTCCTTTGAGAAATAAAAAGAACAAAAAAAAATACGATATCTTTGGCAATCGTTGAATGAGCAAAAGAATGAAAAGTATTATATTCTAGAGAGAAGAGAGATACGAGAAATGTCATTCGCGGAAAATCCCCGAGATTCGTGAAAGCCGAATCATATTTTTCAAGGTTGACCCGAGAGATCTTAAGAAAGGGAATCCTTCGCGGATAATTTGGTTGTATTTTTGGAAAAATCCCTTCGCGTTTATTTCACGAGAGAAACGCGTGCTGTTCAACTAGGAAGGTTGGAAGGAAGGAACGAACGAACCAATGGGCATCTCCTTTTACTTTTTCTCTCTTTCTCGCAAGATCTTCTTCGAGAGACGACAAGCTTATCCTTCTTTCTGAAGCGGGAAAGGGTCCTCTCTCTCTCGTAGAAGAAGAGGAAGAAGAAGAAAATTTCTAGACAAGCGTAACGTAAATGTCCCCATTTTCTCCAGAGGATAAATATCGTCCGAGTATCGTCCTTGAGAAGGATCATCTCCCAAGAGATCCTCTCGTATACCTTGGCGAACGTGTATCCGTCTAGGCACTGTTCTTACTACTACTATTACTTGCTTTATTCTCGCGCCTTTGGCTTTCTCTCTCGAACCACTCTCGAACCTCTCTCGAACCTCTATCGATCACTCTCCACACCTATAACCTTCGCGGAAGAGGAAGAAGGAAAGGTAAAGGAACTTGGCCGAAGCTCGTTTCACGCTCAGTCGCTTGAAAATATATTCCCTGGGTCTTCTCTTCTTCTTACTTCAACGTAGAATACCACCATGGTTCTTCCTCGTGCTTGCTTCTTTCGAATAACTCGGAGAATAAGCGAGTGCAATTAAAATTTAAAGCGTCACCGAGCACCTACCATCATCTCTTTCTTTCTTTCTTTCTTCCCATGAGACATGAAAAAAAAAGAAAGAAAAAATAAAAAGGAATTTTTTTACGTTTTCCCTTATCGAATACTTTTTCACTTCCTTTTCTTTCTCTTACCTTATGAAACATTTCTCTTGGATATGGTTAAAGAGTTAGAAACTAGAAAAAGATTTGTCGGAGGAATTTTCCCCATCGAAACTTGGCCCGTGTGTATCTATGTATGTAAGTAAGGTCGATAATTAGGGCTCTTTGTCACAAGGATTCAAAGTAAAGTAAGGAAAAGCTTACACTCGAAAGTACCCAATGGAACCCAACTTCCTCGCTAAGTAGCTCTCTAAAGATTAAACCGAGAATCAATGTTACTCACTCTCTTTTCTCTCTCTCTCTCTCTCTCTCTTTCTCTCTCCCGTCTTTCACCGACATACGGAATTATAGTAGTTCGTTAAAACTTCCTTAGTTATCTCCTTACCGATTGATCATAAATATCATTCATTGCCAAAAATGTAATCTTCAAAACTAAAATCGTTCGAGACTTGTACCAATTTTTCACCGAAAGATGATATTAAGAGATATTAACGATGCTGCGTCCACTACTGTCTGCTGCTGCTGCTTCTTCCTTTTCGCGTTTTCCGAGATGGAATTTAAAATAAAAAGAGAGAAAAACGTAGAGAAAGAAAAATGAGGAAAGGGCCGAGATGAAAGTTGAACCCATCCTTTCCGTAAGAGAGTACCAAGACGAAACTCTTGAATGGTACAAGACTCTGTCGGTGCGCTCACCGACTCTTCTCGGTTCTTTTCTAGGTTCTTTTCTAGGTTCTCTCTCCCGAGTGTTTCCACTCTTAATTTTCCTTCCTCGCTCTTATCATCGTCGTCGTCGTCGTCGTCGTTTCGAAACATTTTTCTTCCTCACCGTGATTTCTTTCCTATCGTTTTCCCCTACTTTAAACAATACTTACTTACTTACTTACTTACTTACTTACTTACTTACTTACTTACTTACTTTTCAACATTTGCATTCGCATTCTTTCTAATTCCAATAACAAATGGACTATTTCGATTTTGACAAGAACAAACTCAAATTTGATATCCCATTTCTTTTTGTTCATTCCACGCTTCTCGCAATCTCACGCAAAAAAAAACGAGTTTCATTCGATGCGAGGAAAAAAATGTGATGGGACGAGAGATATTGTTGAAAGGAGGTAAAAGAGGAGGAGGAAGAAGAAAGAAAGAAAGAAAGAGAAATAAAAGCAAAGTACAAATTCACCAATTCC